TAGAGGAGGAAGCAGAAGAACTCTCTCTCTCCCTCTTGTACCAAGTACTAACCTGTGAAGCTGGCGCCTTGTTGCAGGTACATCGAAGACGAAGCTGGAGCTATGGCGCCACAGGTAAGTCTCCCTGTCCTCCGCCCTTCTCTCTCTCTCCCAATGCTACTCTACCTTCTAGCAGCGCCCAGCGCTGAAGACTACTCTAGCGCTACTACTACTACTGCAGCGCTCCTCCAGAGTGTTGCGGCCAACTCCTGAAGACTGCCTCCTGAACGCACGTGAAGTGCCTGTGAACTGCCTGGGAAGTCCCTATCAACTACCTGCAGCCTGCAGGGCGGGCCAATACTATATAGTGTTGGCCTGTCCGGGAGGTTGCTCTTGCCAATGTCGAAACGTGCCAGACCCTGGCGTTGAAGTTCAAAGAAAGGTCGTCTTGAAACAGGCCCAAAAATGGCCTGTGCTAAACCCTGGTCTGGCGCCTGCGTCTCAGGGCAGGTCGACTTTATGAGGGCCTGAAAATGACCCTCGTTTTCAGGCTTTTAGGCTGAAACGACACAGGGCCTGGAGGGCCCTTATTTTCCGTCTGGTGGATGCGCAGTATGCCACATCCATCCTCCATTGCTCAGTATTCTACTTCCTTCTGGATACACACGCGCAAGAGAGAGAGAGAGAGAGAGAGAGAGAGAGAGAGAGAGAGAGAGAGAGAGAGAGAGAGAGAGAGAGAGAGAGAGTTATGTGGGATCTGAGCTTGGTGACATTCGGGCCATTGCCCTGTTCTGGTATTCGGTCAAAGACCCGCCTTTGGACAATGTGCTGAGATTGGGACTTCGGGAAACGTCGGGATCGATGACATTGGCAACTTGGCCTTCCCGCCCCAGTCTTCCCCTTCGTCTCCATCTCCCTCCTACTTCGTCTGTGGATGGTCTGGGGACAGCGTACCTTCTGTGTATGACCCGCTGCCCCCCATCTCACTGAGTGGTAAATGAATGAGCGAGCATTGTCCATTCCAATCTTGCTGTTGCGTCACGCGCTGCCCCCCATCTCACTGAGTGGTAAATGAACGAGTGAGCATTGTCCATTCCAATCTTGCTGCGTCAGAGTGTATGTTCCAGTCTTCCGCTGCGTTCTATCATCTGTTGCTGGGTTTGGTTCCTTGGATCTGTGCTACAATTTGCTGTGTAAATGTGTATGCGACACATCCCGAGGAAAATTCACAGGCTGAACAGATGAACCGGGTAGTACAGCAACTGTTAAGACACTACATCAAGCCTAATCAGGTTGATTGGGACGACAAGCTACCCTAGTAGGTAGTCTATACAAGAATGCAGTGCATTCCGCTACAAACTGGCTCCTCATCAGCTACATTTGGGATGGGAGCCTAGGATGCTGTTGTATTTCTTACTGCCTGAATCTAAGCCTGCTCGAGAGCATATTCAGAGAGCTCAGAATGCTATGATAGCATCTGAGAACAAACACGGGTGCCCATCAACATTTCAGGTTGGGGATGTTGCTGTTCCTCCTCACCTACACACATACCCTGTCTCTCACGCCTCCATACTCCCTCCTAATTGATCAGTTTCCCTCTCGGCGATTAGTGCTGCCCCCTACCATGGATGGATACCTGGACATCGATCAGATTCTTGAGCACCGGGTGATGCCAGTACCCAAGCCAACTGGGAGAGGAAGACCACTCAAACCGCAACTGCAATACAGGGTGGCCTTCAGACTTCACCTGGATCCTGCAGAGGATCGGTGGTTCACCAGAGACGAGCTAATGAAGACAGCCCTGCAGGTTGTTTCAAAGTTTGAGGAGGGCTTAAAAGGAAAGCAGCAAGTCTAATGAGGTGTTCTCAGAGGACTCTTGAACCAGAGGGGGAGGCAATGCAAGGATTAAGAACCTTGGGTGAGCCAGAAAGAGGCCCTGCGCACCCTAAGTAAAGGCGGGCCTGCCAAAATGCAACGGGGCCTGAGAACAGGCCAATGTGAGCAGAAGTGGAGCCCTGGGTAGTTGCCGCACATGTGCAGCATCTTCAACTAACCGGTAGGCTCAGCCTGTGAGTTAGTTGCAGATGCTGGGCCTGACTGCACATCCTGGAAGGCCCGAACACAGGGCAACTGGGGCAGGGCACAGCCTCGGTGCGGCCTCCTCAGCCTCTCCATCCAGTACCAAAAACTGGAGGCCGCCAGACTCACACATCGGGCATTGTGCCATTGCAACAGTGGTGCTGGATCAGTAGCTCAGCCCTGTGCCTGTGGGAAGCTGCTGCGGTGGCAGCGAGGAACACGAAGGGAGAGCACCAGCCATAGCGAGGCAGAGCACTCCGTGGCTGGGGTGGTGGAAGTAGCGGAGGTCCTAGTGGAACAAGGGGTGGAGGTCAAGGGAGAGAAGTGTTGTGACCGAGGCACATACCTGGTGTTGACGAAGGACGGCTGTTCCATCAGAG